GAAGGGCCTTAGTACGATAAGTTCTCATGTTCCGTGTTGCATAGACATACATAGAGAGACATAGCAATAAAATAGCAATCATGTTTGATACAAATCAATTTAAATACAACATTCAAATAATAGTTTTTGGGACATGCTTTTCCACCCCAAAACATAAAAACTGAAAATAGGGGAGTGCGTGAATACTCACTATATATAAAATATAGTAACCAAGTTTATACGAGTCAAATAAATACAACGAATATAAATAGTTTAGGACATGTTTTTCCACCCCAAAACATTTAAAAACCGAAAATAGGGGAGTGGTGAATACTCACAATACATTTAGATGATGCAAATGGTGCCTTGAACTACGTTCCACGTGTACCACTACTGATTCCTACAATAATGGTATTCGCTAGTGAGTCTCTAATCGAAATCTAACACTAGTATACTTACTACTACAATAGAATTATGCCAATAATGTGTCAAAATTTAATATTGATAAGTTACAAACATTTTTCTGTGGAAATTAAGTTTCTAAGAATCATTGTTATATAACAATTTAAGTGGAAAATTTCCATTATTGAAATGTTAATATTTAACATTTTAGAGGTGTTCCAATGATTAAATATTCAAAACTAAATCAATTTAGTTCTAAACTTTCCCAAACTTTGTATTTCATTTTTAATTGAAGTCAAACACCTTAAGATAAATTTTCTTGAATTTTTGATTTGTCTAACTATTTTTCACCATTTAATTCCATGAATAATCATAAAATCATGGAAAAATAGTAAATTATCATGAAAAATTCTTGTAATTTTTGTGTAACTATTTTACAGTGTACATAATCTAGGAAAAATATTAATATGTGTTTTCAAAAAGTTTAACACAATTTTTGATTTTTGTACATTTAAGTGTATTAAATCTTGGGAAAATAGAGAAAAATAGCATACAGAAGATAAAAATCATCAAAATTTTTATGTATCATCCTAACATAATATAAGAGTTTCTGGTAAATTGTCATGAATTTTGGATGAGTAAAACTATTTTTTCTGTTTTTAGTCCATTATAAACACAAAAAATCATGAATAATAGATATACATTTTTAAAAATTCCCAAAATATTTTCCAGAGTCTTCCTCATAGGGTAGAAGCTGCGAAAATTATTAGATACCCTTTTATATTACCTAATGTGGTTTTATGATTTATTAGAGATAAACAAAAAAAATTCAAAACCATATTAAACAGTAACAAAAATCGATGAAACTTCATGAGAGATGTTTATTAACTTAAAGGGTCATCCACAAATATTTCCAGAATTTATTTACAAGCTTAAGTATTTTATATGCTTTAACACTCTATTTTATTATTATTTTCATGTAAAAATAAAGAAAATATATATTGAGCTGAAAATTTCCAGAATGCAACTTCAAACAATTTAATAACAATGAAAAATTGTTTTCTTATTTTTGATGTCGAAAAACATGCCTAAAGGCTCAAACAATTATAGAGAAAACTTGATTCTTGTGATTTTGGTAAAAATTATTGATGTTACTTTGAGAATTTTTGCAACATGTTCCAAAGGCTTTTGAATCAAGATATTTTTATACCTCTTAATACACGATGTTAAGTGCTCAAGTTAATTTTTCCTTGATTTTTAGTGATGAATAAGATCTTTGAACATGCAATACAAAACTAGTATTCACAAAAAGGTGCTGATTGAGCAACAGTTTTGTAAAAATTGCTAAAAATCGATATATTTGAATTTTCCATTGAGGTCAGATGGTTTTGAAAGCTAACTCAAAATATTATATTTCAGAAAAAGAATCCCGAATTTTGGTTAAGCAATGAGTGAGATATGACAGTTTAAAGTCAGGTAAAGAAATCTGGCAGATTGCATGCATGGTGATTGGTTAGAAAAATGAGTTTCATCATTTCTTTGAGTAAATCTTTTGAAATATTTTAAAAGATATCATGATAAACTTATATTCTAGTCATGTTCCCAGAGATCAAAAGATTAAAACTTATCAAAATGTATACATTCATTTATGAACAAAATTTTGTTTCTCAAAAACTCTTAACTTGAGTTTGATGTTTTAATCCTTAAAATCGATTTTTGCACTAAGATCATGAACATGCAACCTTGTTTATCATACATGCATTGTGTTAAAACACATCCATGATGTTCTAAAAACCATTTTAACAAAAAGAAAACAAGTTTGAAGAAGATGAAGAAGTAGAAGTTGATTTTTGAAGTAAAATGCACATGCATGGCTTAAATCATTGTTGTGGATCTTCAAGAGATGTATGTTCTTTACCTTAAATTTATTTGTGGCTTGAAAAACCCTTATGAATCTCCATAATTTCGTGGTTAAGAGGCTGTGGTTGTGGTGTTTGGAGAAAAAAAATTAGAGAGAAGGTAGAGAGAGTTTTCTAGAGAGAGAAAGAAGAGAGATGTGTGTGTGTTGGAGAATGAGAGTGTGAGAGAGAGATATGGAAAGAGAGGGGTCCGAAATTTTGAGTATAATAACCCTTTCTCATTCATTTTGTTTTATAAAATTTAAGTTATTTTATAAAATATCTAAATTTTATATAAAATGTGCACTGAAATCAAGTTTTTATTCATGAAACCTTGATTTTTGACTTATAAATTAAGGATGAATGTTAATCACTTAAATTTTTATTTTCCTTGATTATATTTCACAGAATTTAATTGTTTTAAGATAATATTATAAGTTTCATAACTATTTTTATAGAATTCTTGATGTTAAACTTTATAAAATTTAAGTTTTAGGGTTTTTAGGGTTTTTGAGAGTTTGTAAAAATTTGGATATCAAAATAAATAGAATATTTGAGACTTTAAATTATCTTATGGTATTATAACTCTTTTATAGTTATAAATAATGTTTGTAATTTATTTTTATCGGTTTATTGGCATTCTATGTAGTGATTCCGAGATTCAAGCGAAATTGAGGAATCAAGTATACTAGTCCTAGTCTTCAACTTTGACTTAAGTTTCTATGAGACTTTGACCTAATTTCTACTTCTAGGTCAAGTTCATGATATGTGTATATGATTCATGAAAAGGTGTTCGAGTCAAAGAGTGACCCGAATATGGATAGCCTCTACAGTTAATTAGTTGTAGAATTCACATATCAATGTGAAATCTAAGTACATTATCCATTGTTTCTAGTTGCTTCCAAGTTTCTAGTAGGTTATAACTGAGCTTCTAGTCACTAAGTCCAGTATGTGTCGTGTGTATATGTGCAACTAAGTTTATTCAAATCTAGAACCGACTCGAATTTTGACGGTTGTCACACTATCTTTCAGAACTCTCGATCTGATGTGTTTTCATTTAGATCCATAGATCTACTTCGTTTTTAGCTCAGATCTCTTGATCTACTTAGTGTTTTTGTTCAGATCTATGGATTTGCTTTGTTTTTTAGACCAGATCTTTGGATCTGCTTTAGTTTTAGTTCATTCAAACATTTTTCGAGTTTACAGACACATTTTAGATCAGTTTTGTTTTTCTTTTGAGTGACCCATTCAGTAAGTTGGGGAGAAAAGAAATTTTTACAAGTTTATACTTTTATCAAGTTCATATTATTAGAAAATCGTTTTTTAGTTAAGATTTTATGTGTATAACCTTACTCCCAGCAACATTTGTTTGTAAACAAAGCTGAGATGCTTGTACATTTCAAAAAAAAAATCGAGTTCTTACTCACTGTTGTTCATATTTCTGGTGTTTTCCCTTACAAGCTTAAAGATGGAAAACAAAAAATTTTCAGATTTGTTCTTGTTCATATTTTGATGGTTTGTTGCACAAGCTGAAGAAAAAAAAAAGGGTTTTACAAGAAGAGATCCTTATCAAATCCGTTTTTTGTTTATATTCGGGTGTTTGTTTAGCAAGTCTAAGAAGAAGAGAAGTTTTTTATCTCATTTTTAGTTTATATGTTACAGAAAAACGATTTAATGTTTAGATTTTCTTTATAGAACTTCAATCTCTGAAACAACTATTTATACACATAGCTGTGTGATTTGTACATTTCTCAAAACCTTCAAAAAATCGTTTATTACTTCATCAAAATCCATCATATATGTAGATCTACTTTAGTTTTTTGTTCATTCAAAAATTTTTTAAGTTTGCAAAATTTTTTCAGATCTATTTTTCTTGTTCATATTTTAAAGAATTGTTGAACAAGCTAAAAAAAAAGTTTTATGAGAAGAATTTTTCTCAAATCCGTTTTTGTTTGTATTTTGGAGTTTTGTTCAGCAGGTTTGAGAAAAGCAATTTTTGTTGTTTATTGGATGCTCTTAGTAGAAATTTGAAAAAAAAAGGATGTTTCTATTGGTTTTTTCCCCATTTTCACTTCATATATTTTCAGAATATTCATTTAGTTTATGATTTTTTATATACAACTTTATTCAAGTTGTTTGTGTCACTGGAGAAAGTTTGGAAAAGAAAGAATTTTTTTATGAGATTTTACTTTGTACCTTCATAAATTATCAGAAAACCCTCTTCTACTTGGCAAATAATTTACCAGATGTTCATTTTTGGCAGTTTTGTCCAACTTTGAGAAGAGAAAAGTTTCATATGGGTTTTTACCCTCCCTTTTTCAGCTTATATTCCATTTTCAGCTTATATTATTAGCAAATACATTTTAACTGATGATTTCATATGTACAACCTGGTTATGCATTTCGACATCTCCTAAAACCAACAACAAAAAAAAGAAGTCAAAGAAATCTCATAAATATGTCCGAATTACAAGAATGGTGATTTTCATTTCACATTAGCTGAAAAAAAAGGAGGGTACGGATATATACAGTGTACATAAATAAAAAGATGAAAACATCTTCAGTGGGACCCGCTTGGCATCTCAGATTTCGAGGTGGTCTCTTCCGCTCGGACCAACCAACAGCGACCCCTAAGCCAGCTGTCACCGGCCTTTGTTTTCCCGATCTATCGTCGCCAATAGAACCTAACACCACCAATCACCAGCCACCAACCAGGCCAGAGTCAGACCATTGATGGTCGTTGCACCCCTGGTGCTCCCAATCCGAGGAAGCACATCCAGAAGTTGCCGCTTGCTACTCTGCTGGAACCACCAGTCGACCAACACAATGTTCGGTTAATTGCCCCCGACCTTCGATCGCACAGTAGCCCCAGCGCCATCGAAGTAACCATCATTTGTAGATAGTTGACGCCACCACTCCGATGAGGCAGTCCCAACAACAGTCGTCGCCTCACTGTGGCGACCTCCGGAACAACACTAGAAGTCCTCATCTTAAGTCGATCCCAGATTCATGACGTCGCTCCTTCGACGAAGCATCTCCAGCAGCAGCCAAAGACCTCCATGTGTTGATTTGTCACTCACAACCAGATAACAAAGTGTCACCATCAACCACTGTCATCGCCACCGGTCCACTTGCAGTCGCCAGCTGATGCAGCCAACAACCACCTCCGCTCTGATCTCCCTTACACTTAGCGTCGCCGACTAGATCGAGCTTTCTATCTCCTCCTCAGGTCACAAACTCCGACGTCAGGACCATTCGTGACTCATCTTCTTCCAGATATGACTTTTCACCTTCGATTTCTTCAAGGAGCGTAAAGCGGCTCCATCTTCTCATTTTGTTTCACATAAACGACAGAAAGGGAATTAGGGCATTGGCCCATATCTTTCAAGTGACTCCAGCAACATCATTTTGGGCTGATCATTTCCTAAAGCAGGCACACAACTCGATCTTGGGCTATTATTTTTCAACTGGGCTGATTAATGAATAAATGGGCTGATATTTGGCACTCATATATTTATTTTTGGGCTCCTACACACGTTCAACAACGAAAATATACACATATAAAAAAAACAAATTTGGTTTGTCATACGCGATTTGGGCTTCCTTCCAAAAATTAGGCTTCCTATAAGTTATTCTTGGACTTACAACATAAGTGGTCTGCAACTTTTTAATTTGGGTTTTCTTCCAAATTAGTTTCACGATTATTTCACAATTTTATCGAACCAAAATCAGCCATTTAACATTCGCACAACGCAAGCACCGCTTAACATAGTACGCTTTGGAATACGCGTGGCGGACAGGACCGCTCGACACTTTCAAAATATTTATGATAACAAATAATAATAAGGAAAAAGGAGTTGGGTTAGTCACTTCCAAACAGGTTCGTTAATTTATTTTAGCAATGAGGTTTTCCTACATCAAATTTTCATCTTCTTGAGCCCATTCTAGCAAGATAAAAACTCAACAGCTAATGATCACATATTGCAAGTCGGTACAACAAAGTCAAAATTCAAAAGATACATTGCGGTCCAACTCGACATTCTCAAAAAAAAGGAGGGAGAAGACTAGTACATTGGTACTACTACTATTAGTAAAGCATTTCGAAATAACCCTCAGCGATTGTGCAGCCCGGCTATCAGAAGCCGCGTCGACCAGCTCCATGCAGTCTCACCACTCAGCTCTCATCAGTCATGTTGGCCGACACCCCGTAATCGCGCTGCTGAGTTCTTGGTAGTCGCGCTACCCAGGTTTTGTTAGCACCTGTGTCGCCTAGCTTTTTCAGCAGCTGTATTGCCCTGTTTCCAGCAACTATGCATCCATCATTCCCTTTCCTCACTCTCTACGAAAAAAAGGGGGGGGGGGAGGGGGCGAGAAGGGTTTACACGACACTATGCAGAAGTGATTTTTATTCCGAATGGGTAGCGTTAAAGTATATGAAGAGCCGATATTGTACGTGATGGTGCATTCCCGAGGTGACATTAGATCGAAAAAGCAGCCTCGTAGTTCAACCCTTGGGAGTCTCGTCGCCCATCCTTCAATAGTCGTGCTGCTTATCCATCGCTAGCAGCTCGCTTTCTGGCCCTCAGCGGCCCTATTGCTCTACTCTCGCCAATACTCCCACTACACACCTCTTGACAATAGTTCCACTGTCCGGCTCCCGGTAGCCTCGCTGCATGGCTCTCGACTAAGTCATTAGAAGACAACGCATCAATCATAATTGCAGGTATTGATGCAACAGAGCATCAAGCCCCATTACACTTCAACACGAACTGATCACCCGGGCCAGACACATAGATTGTAGGATAGTACGCCCAATCCTACAAGGTCCAACATCCTTGCGCAGAGTCGTCTGACTTCTCAGCCCAAGTCCATTATAGCGGCAAGCTCCGCATTCGAGGTTCAGTACCATCGCCTTGAGTCGCCAGGCTTCTTAGCCCGACACCATTATAGCGGCAAGCTCCGCTTGCAAGGTTCAGAACCCTCGCCTTAAGTCGCCTGGCTTCCCAGCCCGGCTCCATTATAGCGGCAGGCTCCGAATGCGAGGTTCAGTACCATCTGCTTGCGTCGCCTGGCTTCCCAGTCCGACTCTATTATAGCGGCAAGCTCCGCATGCGAGGTTCGTACCATCGCCTTGAGTCGCCTGTCTTTTCAGCTTGAATCCGTTATAGCGGCAAGCTCTGCTTGCAAGGTTTAGAACCCTCGCCTTGAGTCGCATGGCTTCTCAGCCCGACTCCATTATTGCGGCAAGCTCCGCATGCGAGGTTCAGTACCCTCGCCTTGAGTCGCCTGGCTTCCCAGCCCGACTCCATTATAGCAGCGAGCTCCGCATGCGAGGTTCGGTACCATCGCCTTGAGTCGCCTGGCTTCCCAGACCGGCTCCATTATAGTGGTGAGCTCCGCATGCGAGGATCAGTACCCTCGCCTTGAGTCGTCTGACTTCTCAGCCCGACTCCATTCTAGCGGCAAGCTCCGTATGCAAACTCCAATACCTTTGCCTTGAGTCACCTGGCCCCAGCCCGACTCCACTACAGCGGCATAATCAACCGACGAGGCTCAAAGGCTTGCAACCTTTGCCTATATGATTCCATGAGATGCTCTCCCGTGTGATGTATCTATGATCGCTGGCAGCCAAGCTCGATCCATTCCACGCGATGCTCTCCCGCGTGATTTATCTATGATCGCTGGCAGCCAAGCTCGATCCTTTCCACGCGATGCTCTCCCTCGCGACGTATCTACGAACGCTAGCAGCAAAGCCCGATCCATTCCACACGATGCTCTCCCACGTGATGTATCTACGATCGCTGGCAGCCAAGCCTGATCCATTCCACGCGATGCTCTCCCGCATGATGTATTTACGATCGTTGGTAGCTAAGCCCGATCTGTTCCACGTGACACTCTCTCGTGTAACATCTCCATGATTGCCGATTTCTAAGCCTAAGCTATTCTTCTAAGTCGCACAACATAATTCTCGCATCATCTCGCACCATAAGTCGCACATCGTAAGCTTATTCTACGCCTAACACCGCACCCCCGATGTTTCCTCTCTCACAGTCATCATGATTCTCTCGTGCTCGGACGATCAACGAAGCGTTATGCACATTACATCCTGTTAAAGTGAGGTTACTCTTCAGCAAGAAGGTTATCGAGACAGCAGCCCTGCTACTTACAATACCTCAGCAGCTGTGTTGCCTGGCTCTCGACAACGGCCCTGCTGCGCATTCCCTACATGTGGCCTCACTGCTTATACCTCAGCACCTCGGTTAACTTCGCTCTCGAAGACGGTCTCTTTGTGCAACCCCGACCTATAACCTTACGACATATCCCTCGGCATCTCTGCATCCAGAATATCGGAAACAGTCTCGCTGTGCAACCCATACATGTAGCCTCGCCATGTATCCATCATCACATCTGCAGCCTGGCTCTCGACAATAGTATCGCTGCATGACCCCTGCTAGGAACCTAATCGCCCAGCTCTCGGAATCTCTGCCACCTATGTTACGACCAACAATCTCACAGCTTATCGTTTTAACAACATCCATATCGGACAAGAGTTTTGCTACTTTTTTTAAGCCAACAACTTCGTCGTGCATTGATATAGCAACCTTGCTGTATTCGTTATAGTCTGATCTGGCTACCTATGCTACCCACATCAGACTGGTGGGAATCCAGTTAGGTATAGCGTACTTTGGAGACACTTTCAGGACGGTTGTTAACGCTTGCGCAAAACAGATTATGTACACGGTTATCAGTGATATCCCATATGCGTGTTACTAGAACAACGACTGCGTCGGATAGCAGTCTCATGGACTGAATGGCGAGATGACGTTTCTTAGCTACCTTGGCCCGACGCATTATCAAAATTATCGCCGCATAGCATCCCCGCTCCGCATGATCGTAACAACGGTTACATTGCATCACACCGACCGGATCGCATTCCTCTCAATGAAGTAGTATCAAGTCAGCTCGAGCTGCATAAGCAATGCTTGACTCTTCGTACAACATCACGACTCTCGTAGGCAAGGTTCAGTTGTTTCTTCTCGTTCTTTGATATATTGGTGCTTTGTCTAGTCTGATCTGATCGGACTAGGGGGACTTGATGACACACAGTTTATATGACTAAGTCCAGTCCAATGTCATTGGCTGCATATCAATAACATCGGACTGGAGTAACTTGATGATGTATGATCCATTAGCATGACCTAGACCGCTCTAGCATGCCAGCCTTGCTTGGTGCGCTCCCGCCAGCCCGGCCTGGTGCTCCCTGGCGAGGCTTGCTGGGGCTCTCCCACCGGCCCGACCTGGCGCTCCCTGGCGTGGCTCTCTCTTGCCAGCCTTGCCGGGGCCTGGCGCTCCCTTGCCAGCCTTTCCTGTGCGCGCCCGCCAGCCTTTCTTGGAGCGCGCCCGCCAGCCCCGCCCAGAGCCTCCGGGCGGCCTTGCCTATCTCCTTGCTAGTTGGGCCTGAATTGGGCTGGCCCAAGGCATGACCTAATTCCCCTTAACCTAATTGTCCACTATAAATAGAATAGTGCCTCCTCCATGAAGGAGGACTCTTCCCCAAGTGGCTCAGCCGCCACCAGTCTTCCCCTATGGCTCATCCGCCACACTATACTCCGGCCGGGTGGCTCAGCCGCCACCCGCCTCCGATAGCCACCATACACCACAACCAGCACCAAGATGGTTATCTCCAGCTATGGAGGACCATCTCAGATCTACCAGATGATCTAACTTGACCGTCGGAGCCCGCTTTCGAGGCACAGTCCCTGGGGCGGCTCTAACGGCCTTGTCTGTTGTGACCTCGCAGATTTGTCTCCGACGTAGAAGCACATCCTCAGAGCAGGTGGTCGGAGCCGAAGTCGCATCACTAAGTAACTAAGATTAGGAATTTATAAATGTTTATCTACTTTATATTTTCACTATACTTTAAGTGGAAGGTTGTGTCCTATACCCGTTCGGCTAACGACCCTCCACCACTCAAGGAAGTGGTGAGTG